ATAGATGTTCAGTCCCTTCATGAGATGAGATTTGGTCCCCATACTATGGCATTTTCCCTAATAACTGCTGATATCATCGAGGCAAAGAGAACTGCTTTTCCTAACCACCCATAAAAGAATTTAGCTTTTTATATTTCTGCCTCTCTTAGAAAGCCTCATCTCCCCACTGTGAGTATGGCTGACTCCAAGGTATTGAAATCTGTACTCTAATTGGGAATTCACTGAACAAGACTTCAGTGAATGAACTTTTTTGGCCATTTCCTATAAAATGAAAAAGATTCTGCTCCTCCTCTGAAACTACAATACGGTTGCTTCTGAGCGGTAGTTCAGGATTGGAGGAGATCACTGCGAAATTCAGGTTTTCAGCTAAGACATATTTAACAAAAGTATGTTTTGCGCTCATTTCTGAGAGGCTGTATTCAAAATGTAAATCTTGGGACCTTTCAGGGATGTTTAATCAGCTTTCCAACTGAGGATCTTTTCATGTGAATGTTGAAGGTTGGAATTACTGGAATTGACCTTTTTATTTTCTTTTCCATTTTTCTCTCATCTGGCAATAAAGTAGAACACCCAGATTAGTGTTATTTCCCTGCAAGTCATTTTTACGACTTGGTTTGTGTTAGTGAGAACGAAATATTAATCTGCTCAGGTTTGCTTAGTAATTACATTAGACGTGTCACTTTTTCCATCATTTCTTAGGTTTCATTTCTCGTTGCTGTCTTCCTCTAGAGTTCACCAGCGGGTTTCCAAATAATTGGTGAAGGAACAAAACCAGTTTCATAGTCCCTCCAAGTTCCATGGAATGTTTACAGAGACCTTTCCCCAGGGGCCCTTTATAGACAAGATGGTCACATCAGGGCTTGTACAATCATTCTACTTTTTATTTTATTTTTTCTGATTATTATACATCCACATATAGTTCGCCTTCTAAATTATACACATTCTACTAAAATAAGCCTGAGGGAGCAGGTTGCTGAGAGGACAAGGAGGATCCTGTTGTGATTTTTGTGGCAACTTTATCAGGATCGCACGAGATTCTAGTTGAAGCTTGGGATTAGACTCTTTTGGGGGCGGGGCTTATGTCCATTAAATCATGCTGCCCTTTAACACTCTAGTTTAACTCAGTGCCCCCAAAATAGGGACCACAATCACACTAGGACAACCCCCAGGCATTTCTCAGCAGAGGACCTGATGGCACCTTCTTGATTGGAAGCTCCACCCTGCATGGATGGTCTTCTCCATCCTTGTCCTCCTTAGTCTGGAGGGATGGTTTGGATTTTTCATTTTAACAGTTTTCAGATGTACAGTAGCTCCAACTTAGTTCAAACTGTATTGCTAGAGATGAGAGAGAGAAAGAGACAGAAATAAGTTCTGTCAACATTTCTATAAAAAGGAAAATAAACATCCTCAAGCCCAAATTGAGTTGTTTTCCCTCAGAGGCACCTCTGGAGTGCTTACTGCCGACCATGCACTGTGTTGGGGACCTGGGGGGCCTGGAGACACAGAAGATGCTCTTTCTCACAGGGCTCACAGCCTAATATGAGAAAAAGACAAAATGACAGTTCAGTGGGCTAGCTCCTAGATGAGAGCCATACTCTGCAGACCTGGTCAATATTGAGAAAAGAGAAAAGGAGTCTTTGCCAGCAGTGCAGGTGAGCAGAGAACCTTTTCATAGAACGACATAGGCTTTTCATAGAACGACAATAAAGCTGAGTCCTAAAGGACAAGTGGGAGGTTGGCCAGGCAAAGAGTAGGAAGGACAGACAGTCTGGGAAGAGGGAACAGTGTGGGGAGAGGAGTGAACCAGGGCCATGGTAGAAAAGGCATTCCCTTAGGCCCAAGGGGGTAGGGCTAGAAGAGAGAGAGAGAAGAGATTTTTTAAAAAATGAACCTAGAGAGGAAAAGAGATGCTATGTCAAGAGTGGTATGCCATATGATGGAATTTATACTGTGCCCTGAGTTCTCTGTGGGGCTCTCGCAAGATTTCTGACAGGGCAGTGAGCTCTGAATGCATTGGATTTATCTCAGATTACCCAGCATCTCATTCTTTCTTACCCCAGGGCCTTTGCAAATTACTAATCCTTCTGCCTGAAGAGCTCTTTCCCCATCTTTTCATGACTTTCTCTTTAGTATTTTTCAGATGTCAGCTCTTAAGAGACACCTTGTCTGACCACCCTTTCTAAAGTGTTTCCTAATTGTTTTCTTCATTTCATTTGTACCATTTATAATTTTTAAATTTATTCATTTGTTTTATGTGTTCAGCTGTCTCTAATCTTAGACTATAAACTCCCTGGATGTAGGGACTGTATCTAGAACCCCTAGCACAATGCCTGGATCACAGTAGGTGCCCCCAAAATATTTGTGGAATAAATAAATGAGCCTTCAGATTTGCCTGTGAGGGACAGCTCTAGCTGCAGAGTGGACAATGGACTAAGGAGAAACCAAGACTGATAATAGAAAACATAGTTAGGAGGCTGCCCCCTCTGTCTGGTGAGAATCGGGAAATGTCTGGGCCAGTCATGGAGGGAGTGGAAATGGGAGATGTACTTGGAGTCAAGAAATGGTAAAGCGTGGAATCAGTGAGGAGTAGTTGGATGTGGGTTTTATAAGAAGCAAGAGTTAGGAATGGCCCCAAAACATAGAAAGCGTGATGGTGGTAGATGGTCCACTAAAGGAGGAAATTCCATAGAGTCAGAACAGATTTTGGGGGGAGAAGAAAATGAGCTCGACTTTGGACATGTTGGGTTTGAGGATACCTGTAGGCTATCTGGGTTTAAATATCCAATAAACATTTTGAGAGAGATCTTGGTAAACGGCCAAGATTTGAGAGTCATTGGCTGACAGAGTCGTTCATCCACTCATTGAACAAATACTCACTTACTAACTGCTTTGTCCCAGGCATTAAATACAGTGGTGAATGAAACAAACATTATTCTAGTTCTTAGAAACATCCCAGTCAAGACTGGTGACTGGTATCATGGAAATAGAGGAACTAGCTTAGGAATACACCTTTTGAGCACAAACCCCGGGGAGCACCACATCTAAGAGGTGACCTTACAAAAGAAAAGGGGCCATCAAGAGATGATAGTTTGAATGAGCGCAGGTGTTTCTCCCTCCCAAGTCCTTGCACCCAAGTAAACTTAGTTTTCAAAATATAGTGCTTGCTTTTTTGGTGGCAGGATTGAAGTACACGTGTTCGCATTCACTCTGTACAGAAATTCTTGTTGAGTTGTCCTTAAGGAATTCCAAAGGTTGGAACTGAGACAAGAATCAGCCTGCAAGCAGGAGACACAGGCAGAGATAAACAAGAGTTGGAAATCAACCCAGAGTTTCCCATTCAACTATGCATTTCCTTGTCCTTGTTAGATGTGTTTTAAGTCAAACTTAATGTACGTTATGGTTGGATTCCCTTTGTTAGAGTCCGTGGGGTTAATGCAATGTCAATGTCGTCACAATAGAAAGAGATGTTATAGTCTGTTTTGCCAAGACCAGTTTAGAGAATTTTGACTTATTTGCTTATTTTTACTTCTCAATTATCTTAATCCAAGAGACAACACCTCAGGTGCTTACCAAATAAAAGTCAATCAAAGACCTGGGTGGGAGTTGTTTTGAGAGTTGAAATTTCTTAAGCACATCTTCAAGTGAAAGTTTGCCCATTTACTTTAAAACACAATTTGTATGTAGCTACTGCACATTCTAAAAATTAGAGCTGTTTTATCTGAAATATCATAGATTATGTTTGATACAAAAATTAACTGAAAAAAATTTTAAACTCAGCAAAAACAAAAATATCTTTCTAATTCTAATGCAACCAAAAGAAAAAGAATAATTTGTACATACCTTTATAATTCTCCAAACATAGTGATTTGTTGCATGTGTTTATGTGCGTGACATTTAATGAATTTATTGGTGTATAAACCATACCACAGGTAAATTTGCTTCTGCTTAGTAGTGGGTAAAATCTATTTTTTATCAGTAAATCTTATATATGGACTGTTATGTATTCAGTGTTTCTTATGTTGTATTTCTTAAGGTATGTTTCTAATATAAAGGAAAGTTTTTCAAAATCCCTTTGGCCAACTTCTCGTTTGGCCCTAATTTTAAAGCAGGTGATTATGCTAACCCTATAGACAGATCTCAGCTAGATTTTACCTATGTGAGACTCCAAATCAGAAAACTTGAGAGGCAGAGAAAGAAACAACATATCATAAATTATGGATTCCTTGCTATTTATAAGTTTTATATTCCTAAATGCACCATAAAAATAAATAAGCAGTTGATAAGAGATGTAATAGATATGTTAAAGGAATTAATTATATCCAGCAAAAATAAAACAGATGCAAATTCAAAGATTGCCATTTCGAACCATTGATTTATTATCTTTTCTAAAAAAAAAAAAAAAAAAGACTCAACCCACCCACTCATGAAAAAACTCTTTTGTTTGTGCTCAGAAGTCTTTGTTTTCACCTCTCAAGGGTTGGGGTTTGCTTTTTCTACAATGGCTTTTTAAAGATTCACCCTGTGGTGCCTCTAAAAATGAAGGGAACATCCTTAAATCTTATTTGATTTGAATGAATGGATAGCTAATGCTGATCAGATGTTTCTTTAGAGAATAATGTTTAAAAACTGGTATGGAACTTAGGTATCCTGGCTGATTCATAGGTAGGCTGTTTTCATCCCAGCTGTGAAGGTCTCAGAGATCAGCCAAGGTAACCATTTATTTTAAATCTTCTTTTGTTTCAGATTTCCTGTTGTTTTTTTTTTTTTTTTGACCATTTCAAAAATCACCCAGTTGTGTCATAGCTTTCCATGACCCCCAGATTCAAACCAAAAAACCATCTATATAACGAAGTGACTGTACCCTCCCACGTAAACTCTAAGTAGAGCAGAATATGAAATTAGACCTTGCCTTTTTTAATCACAATGAAACTAATATTTAGAATTCTCTTGTCAAATGTCTTCTATTTATGACACTGTTTCTTTTGTTTTTGTTTCCCCAGGACATTTGGGCTTCCAGGACAGTTTTGTCACATCAGGTGTTTTTAGTGTGACTGAGCTAGTAAGAGTGTCACAGAGTAAGTATAATTTTGCTTTGATTTGGTACACATTTGCCTTGGGTTTGTGCTTACTTTCTGCCTGGGCCTCCTAGAGACATAAATAGCTTTCAGAATCCCTTTTTCATTCACCCATTGGAAGAATTTCGCCACGCAGTTTATTTGACAGCCAAGAATTTAAATCAGGAAAAATTAAATATCATTTTAATGTGAGACATAGGGAAAGAACTGAAATCCTGACTGTCTCACATATTCCCTACTTTATAGTGTGAACCTGGTTAAAAAAATTTTCTGAGTCTTCCCTGATTTCTAGGAAATTCTGCATTTTAAAAGAATTTGTTTTTGACCTTTAAAGAATGCTAATGCCCTCAGCATGAGTGACACAGTACAGCATGATCATTACCCGGTTGTCAATAATCACCAACAACAATGAATTAAGAGTACCTGTCACCACCCTGTTCCATTGATCAAAAGGGTCATTGATTATATTTTTGCTATGACATAATCCAGACAGTCCAAGGAGAAGATATAGGATATTCTGTCTCTGTGTTTCTCTCCCTCAGTCTCTCTGTCTCTGTCAGTCATACACACACATACACACACACACACACACACACACACACACACACACACACTGTTGCCTTCCCTCAAAAACATCTCTTTGTTTTTATTTAAATGCATACCTACAATGACTATAGTGTCATAGGTGGCAATAACAAGAGGAAAATTTAAATATCAAATGTTACAATTTTACTTTTTATTCCCCTCCTACTTCAAAATACTGCTTATAGATAAAATTTACAATGTCAACATTGGTTTCGAACTGCATCAAATCCTTTGTGGAATGAGGTGGAGTAAAAATAAATATTTTCGTTTCAAGTCCATACCCCCCATTCACTTCATTACAGTCTTGCAAATTTGACCGAGTAAACCAGTCAATCTCTGACAAGATGTCGGGTCACGCAAGCCACGCCATCCCAATCGCACAAGCTCAGATTCTCTCTTCTCTTATTTCTTAACGCTGGAAGGCCGTGAAGAATCCAGAAAGTGGGATATAGGACGTGGGGGCAGAGGATGTGGAGTTTGAGGGATAGATAAAAAAAAAAAAAAAATCCAATGACTGTTGAGCAGTCACTATCTGCCAGACGCTGTGTTTTCATGTGTGTTATATAAATTAATCTTTGCCATAAACTTGTTAGGTAAGTACTTACACTCATTTTCACAAATGAGTTAAATTGGGGGTCTATTTAAGTCATTCACCAAAGTCAGATAGTGGGCAAATAGTTAAAGCTAAGTCTGTGTCTTACAGATGTGTACTCTTGCATGGGCCCAAAGGAACTTGAGAAAGTGTACAATGTGGGACTAGACAGGGAGACTAGGGGAAAGGTAACTTTGTGGATGAGAATTCTGGAAGTTGGGACCCTCGGTTGATCCTGGGGGTGTTCTGGTGTTAGGGAGGTGGAACCATAGGGAATGAGGTGTTAGGAGCAGTGAGGGTATGAGTTGGAATGGAGACGTTGCTTCCATGTTATCAAGTATGCGTCAAGTATCAACCGGTGAGGAAGAGACTAGATTAGGTTGGAGGATATGTGCCTAGCACAGCTGACTAGCCAGTCATTTGCCATGGATAAATAATGCAATTTTTTAAAACTGTTTTTCACTGGGGCACTGGGTGGCTCAGTCAGTTAGACGTCTGACTTCAGCTCACGTCATGATCTCACAGTTCGTGGGTTCAGACCCCGTGTCAGGCTCTGTGCTGGCAGCCCAGAGCCTGGAGCCTGCTTCGGGTTCTGTGTCTCCCTCTCTCTCTCTGCCCCTCCCCTGCTCATTCTCTGTCTCTCAAAAATAAGTAAACATTAAAAAAAAGTTTTTTTTTAATAAAATTGTTTTTCACTTTGTAAGACTTAAAAAGGACCGCTATCCCACATTTTCTTATAACTTTAATAATAATAGTAATGTAGAATATATGCTTTTTAGAGGGTACTTATCGTAATGGCATTCCAGGTAAATACATTCCTTGAGCCCTTACTTAACTCTAGGATTGGAGCACTCGACCTTTTTATTCTTCCCTGGCTGCTGTAATGCTTACATTTGGTCTTCATTACCGGTAATCAGTGTCCCAAGGCCTGGATGTTGTATGAGAAGGCCCGCGCTGCTCAAGACCGTCCCCGGCATCTTGTCCCCCTTCCATTTTCTGTATGCCCCTTTAAGGTCTTCTATCCCAAGGCCTATCAGTTCCAAGCTAGATTAGCCCTCTATTCAGTCTACATAGCATGGTTGCCAAGTGAATTCTAAACCTGCCTTCAAGACTGCCAGAGGGTATGGGCAGACCACAGATTGAATTTGCAGAGGGACCTGGTTTTGTTTCCTGTCCCCATTTAGGGGGTTATGTTGCTGATGCCCGGCATCATGAGCGTCCTTCGGCTCTTGAATGCTTTTCGATTCTGCACACTGCTGTGTAATCGCTGTAGGACTCACTCACACATGGCCTCGTGCTGACTAAAACTGTTTGGCAAGAGTGGGACTGGGCTGTGTCAGCTAACTCATGGCTTCAAGCCAAACTGCTGTCCAGAGCCCCCCTCCCTCTTGCAGATCTGTAATCCAGGTTTGTCAGGGTATATGTCACAAGATTGCCTTGGCTGCTGGGGTTACGGACCCACCCCCAGCTCAGGTTGCCTCACCCACACACCTTTCTGAAAGACTTAATACTCGAGCCACATGATGAGTCAAAACCCTTCACCATTCCTTACAGCACTGCCCCCTTCCCTGAGCTGGAAGAGCTAAGGGTCCATGTTAGAGGTGCAGTGGGCACTTTTTACAAATGAGCAGGGCTGGGGTGCGTTCCATAGCCTTGAAATAGAAATAAGCTAACTGGCACAGAAGTTGATTAAATGCATCATGTTAGCCCTGTTAGGAACATGATGCAACACTAACATGAAAAATACGGTAGCTAGTATTTACCAAGCATACGCTATGTACCAGGCATTGTGCTAGGCACTTTGTAAACATCATCTCGTTCAGTCCTCCCATGGTTGCTATTATTGTCCTTTTTATAGTTGAAGAAGATGATGATGCTCAAAGAGGTTAAGAAACTTGCTCTTTTGACTTTGCTGTGCTCAGCTAACTGACTGCAGACATTTTTGTCGTGACCTCTCCTGTAACTGCATTAGAGAGCTACGGAATCTTTGGATTCTGTGTTTTTATTAAAAAACCATTTCTTGTTAGAGTTGATAAACTTTTAGCTTGTTAATCTGTGCATTAAAAAAAGGTTGAAGCTACTTTCATGTAAACTCAAACACTTAATTAAACTTTTTTCCCCGGATTGGTTTTCAGTTCTGATATTTTTTTTAATGAATAGGCTTTATTTTTACAGCAATTTTAGGCTCACAGCTTTAGGTTAGTGAAAAGTACATAAATTTTAATATTTACACCTCCCCAAATAGTTTCCTGTATATATTAACATCTGTTGTTCATGTGGTACATTTGTTACAAGGGAGGAACTGATATTGACCCGTTATTGTTAACAGAAGTCCATAGTTGACATAAGGGTTCAGTTCTTTGTGTTCTAGATTCTGCGTGTTGACAAATGTATCTATTATTGCAGTGTCATACAGAACAGTCTCACTTCCTGAAAAATCACCTGCCCTCCAGCCGGTCATCTCCCCAAGTCTCCAAAATTACTACTCATTCTGTGAATAGTTCAGCCTTTAACTGGATGTTTTTAATGGCCTCAGAGTCTTAGAATTTCTTCCACTCTGCTGCACGTTTCTTCTTAACCCCCTCTTACTGATCTCAGCCCCACCCAGTTCCCCCCATCACACTTATGACCACATATGTGGCCTGGAAATGTCAAACTGGTGGTGGCCTCAGTTCGAAAAATTTCCCTCCTCCTGAATCTTTAGTATTCAATGTTAAAATCTGCTGATGTAAATATTTACTTTCCTCAGGTTTCCAGTTAGTTTCTGTTTCTCGTTTTCCTCCTTTTAAATTTAACAGAGGAGGGAGGTGCTATTTCAGCATTTCCTCCTGAGGATTCACTGAAATAACCGCGTGCTAAGTTTGTTGTTTATAATCGTGTTACTACAGGGTGGCAATGGCAGAGAAACTCAAGAGAAAAGCTGCTGGTTTAGCTTCACACATTCAGAGGTGAGGGTCAGGCAGCGAGGTTGCTTGACATTAGATTATAGTGATCAGATGCATGGAGTTGTTAGAATCAGGGGCTCCCGCTGTGGTCTCTCACTAATTCCCCTCTCACCCTCGCCTCCCGCCTACCCACCTACCCTTTCAGTTTTTGCATTATGTCGAGTCCACGAAAGGCAAGAAAGGAGAGTTCTGTTTCTCTTAGCAGCAAAGGAAGTACCACAGCATAAAAGTAGATGTATATATGTGGTCCTCCTTGTGACAGGGCCATCTGAAAGTCGTTCGAGTAATTTATTACTTTGTTCCAGGAGAGGGTCGGGAAGGGGGAATACAGATCGCGAGACACTGTGCCAGAGGCAGAGAGAGGTCTTCTCTGCTCCGAGGGAGGGGGGTTTCCAAGTGCTAACAACGCAGTTCAGAATCACTAAAGTTGTTTCAGCAGAACACTGTGAGGAAAAGGACAGGAACCATCTGTTGAAATGGTTCTTGCGTGATGCTGCATTTTCAAACAAAGCCCTCGAGAAGCGTTTTTCAGATGGGTCTCTTTCCCATGAAGCTGCCACCAAGAGAGCGCACTCGGCTAGCTGCTAAATGACCCCACTTTGATGGCCGACTCGATCAGCACCCGCTCTTGTTTATTTTGCACGGGTGTTCTCCTCCAAGGGTGTGCTTTGAGTCCGTCAAATACCCTTCCTGGTGTGAACCCAGAAAATCCTCCCGAAAAATCCACTGCTTCTGCCCATTTCCTTCTAAAGTGCTGACTCTTCTACTTTGAAGTTGGTGGGGGTGGCTCTGAATCCGTAACTACTTCGTGGGGAAAGAGGAAAACCACAAATACACACAGGCCATTGTGACTCTGGCCTGGCGGGGTCTCATTTTCC